TTTTGCAGTTGTATGTTTTGTTTCACAACAATATCCAGCATTCAAGTATAAATTTGGAATTTGTACCTATATTTGCAGGCAAGTGCCCTTTATGTTCAGCAGTTGTTCAAGCTTTTAAAGCAGAAATGCTCTGTCTGTTGGCATGGAATATGGTTAAGTGTACTGTTCTAGAGAGTTCCCTGTGTGGCAAACACCAGATTTAGGCTCACTGATGTTTGATATGCAATTGGCTTTTGAGCTACTTTAGACTTCTGGAAGCAGAAGGATATATTTTTTTTTTCTTGGACTCCTGAAGAGGTAGTAAATTATTTCCTTTTCTTTGTTGTACAGCAGCCCCTCATTGGCTTTGTGGAAACAAATATCTGGAAAGATATTTCTATAATGACTTATTTAGAAATAGGTAACTTTTCATAGCAGAAAATAGGATTGAACTCCAGTTCATGTTTATGATGAAGGTTGTATTAGGTAAACAGAATACATAGTTGGTGTTAGTTAGGTGAATTGATGCATTTAAAACATGTTAGTTCAATGAAACCAGAATATTGAAAGTGGAGTATGATCCACAATTTAATTGATTTTCGTATAGGTAGTCACAGCCTTCACAGTCTTTGGGAGAACAAGAAACTCTTTTAAAAGATCCATTTACTGAATGCTTTTTAAAAAAAAAATAGTTTGGAAAGAGCCTGTTAGAAACAAAGCACCAATGTGAGTATCACAAGAGAGAACACTTAAAGCTGCATGTTTTTAGAAGCTTGTACTTTGTGCTGACATATTCAGAAAGGTCTTGGGGTATAAAGGACTGCTAGTCAATACCAATGCTGGCCCATATCTTCTGCAATGCTCTCTTCTAGAGGCAAACAAAATGGTCAAGAGAAATTGAATAGTCTTTATTTGGTCCTGTTTTGATCAGAACATAGTGTCTGTGTCACATTTTTGATTCAGAGAAGCAATTCCAGAGAATTTCAGAATTCCTAACCTGATTCTATTTGAGTCTGTATAGCCCTGTTTTAGTAGTTAGGTGGGCTTTGTCAAGCCTGTCCTTACTCCTTATCCTCCACTAGTATTACAAATAATTTGTGGTTTTTGCAGAACAGTTTGAAGAAATGGACCTACTTGAGTTCTTAAAGAAATTAGGCTGGAAGAATAACAAGGAAACTGGAAATATTAAAGCAAGCTGCTTTTTATAAATGTTTGTTCTAATGTGAAAATCCTTCTTTATTTTTCTATGTATAAATGAAATTGAAATTAACAATAGGATTGGGCCTGAAACAAATGTTGAACAACTCAAGGTGACTTGCTCTGTATTGTCTGGTGCCACTATTCTGTAGCTCCCCTAAGGTGAGTTCTCTTGATGTTTGGGAAGGTTTAAAAAGAGAGCCATTTAAATTTAAACATTCCACTCACTCAGCTACAACTCAGCTTGTCCTGCTGGTTGGACAACACAAGCTCTTCCAGTGCTCACTCAGTGACTTGCAGTTCCTAAGATTACTACAAATTCAGCTATGAATATATTCTCCATGTGTATATTTGAAGTACTGTAATACTAACTAGGTCAGTGACTGATTATGAGCCTTCACATCTGACAGACCTCAGCAGCAGGCACAGCTATTTTGATTCTGTACACTGTATAAAACTCAAGTCCAGTAGTCACTTAACAGGAAATGGAACATGACTGCAGATCGATGCTTACTTTCAGCTTACTCCAGCAAGATAACTCAGCTATCCAAACTGATGTACATAATGTATTATATGAGTTTTACCATTTGATAATTGCCTTTTTCAAAGAAAACCTGTCCACACTGTAGACTGGCAGTCCCTTTCATATCTTGCCTTTAAAGATAGAGTGTTTAGTTGTTAGAGTAGTACTCATGTAGGCTTGTTATAGCAGATAGCACCAACATTTTATTTGAGATAGTTAAGTGGATTAATTACAACTTCACAGATATGTCCCCAAATCTGTAACACCAAAGGCTTCCCTCTCATTGTTCTTGATGTAGTAGGACAGTGTTTGTGTAAAGGCCACAGGAGTACATTTTGTTGGACATATTTACACCCAGTCAAGATGTTAAGGTGATAAAAATGTCAATTGTTCTTTACAAACTTACACGTTGTATAGTATACAGAATAAATTGATTTACTTAGTTTTTATTGCACCATGGAGGTTTGTCTCATCTTTACTGTGTTTTCCTAAACAATACTGGATACTTCGGTATTCTCTGTGGAAAATTTCTAAACCCTAAATCTTACTACTCTGTATCATTAAAAATACGACTGGGCGTTGGTTTCTAGTATGTTAGACTACAGAATTACTTTAATGTAATCACATTTATATATATTTCAGTGCTTATTTTTCTATTAAGGCAATTAAAGCTTATTGTTTGAAAACTCCGTAACAGATGATTGTTTGGGTCCCTTGCACTGAATGAAGGGGATGTCTGGGAACCAGCTTGGTGCAAAGAAGTCTGCATTGCTTTAGACTGTTGGCCTAAATATGGCAACATTTCCAGAAACAACAATGCTGGAAGAGTCCCACTGATTTCCCAGTCAGCCTGAGGCTGATCTTTGCACAGCTTCCAGCTCCACGGGGTGTTATTTACACAGTTAGCTCAGTCCCCAGGGTTACAGTAACACCCTCTGTGCTCTGCCTGGTACACGATTGTCTCTCTTCCTACATATCTCTTGTATTACATTGCAGAGTTCTTAACTGTTCCATCAGTACTGGCTGGAACCAGCCCTGTTTGTTTTTACAGCTAAAATCTGCAGGCCTGGTCCGTGAGGTGTGAGAATGTGGGCTTGGCAGAGAACTCTCTGCTCACTGATTGTACAGAATAGGAAGTCCTGTGTGAGTAGGAAATTTCTCTGCCACAGTTGAACAGATCACAGATATAAACAGAACACAGGTGTAAGAAAAAAGATAGGGCAAATGCTTCTTAACTGCTGAAAAAAAATTGCATAAAAATTCAGTATAAAATTCTACATGTGGACTGTGTCAGTTACATCATCTGTATGCTGTTATCTGGAACACCCTGGGATCTATGCTCTGAAAAAAATGCCATGTTTTCAAAAAGATGTTGTGCAAGGTAAGAGATGGGGTCTTTTAAAATCTTGCCGGCAAATACTTGATACAGAGGATGCATCTTAAAGCAGTCGCTCTGGATACACTGCAAAAAGGTTGTTTCCTGGCAACTTTCAATGCCCCCAATTCCTGTCCTTAATGGCAGATTTGAAATCCTGGTTTATGCAAATTGTGTCAAATCATAGCATATTTTGGACTCAGATATCTATTTTTTGCTGTGGCTCATTACATTTGGCTCCTGAGCTCCAGCTGTGGGTGGCTGAGATCAGTAATCCACAGTCCAGGCAAACTCCTGAAATGAGTGTCTTTGAATTTAAAGGGTTCAAAATATCTGATGTGAAGCTTCACACAGAGGGGAGGTCCAGGTCCTTTCTGAAAACAAACCTGAAATTTCAGTTGTTTATAGTTCCAGTGTTGCACATGAAAGGTGTCTGGTAGCTTTAGTACAGATCTCCCTGGTTTGCCTTGGCGGAGGGATGGAGAGCAGCTATGAGCACAGCTTAGCCAAAACTTCACCCCTGGCCTGGACAGCAGCTCCCAGGAACCCTTCTGGGCTTTTTATAGCACTGAGAGTGAATGTCCAGGTCTGCTGGAGTGAGCCTCCTGCTGTGGGACAGCAACAGCAGCTGTGGTTGATGAGCCTGGACATGCTGGCAGAACATGGGAAGGAATGTATTTTTAAAATTCTGTTCACGTTATTTTAAACTCTCCCAGCAGAACCAAGTGGTTTTTTAATCTCTATTTTGAGTTTACTAACTTTAGTTTCCTAGCTGTGAACGCCATATATCTGCACCTAATGCAAACAACTCTGGGTAAGCTACATATTTTCATCTTGGCTATTTCCTATTCTTGCTACTTTCTCCATCTCCTTGTCAGATAGCAGCAATAAAGTCCAGCTAGGCGCTTATTGGGAGTGTTTGTTTTGAGAGTCAGGATAGTGTTTTCTCTCTAAATTAAAAAATTGATGAATGATTTCTGACCCGTTGCTTTCATGGTTCAGTTTCTCTGTAAACAGGTTTGTCTGTTTCTTTGGTAGTTGTGAGTTTCAGGGGCAGTGCAGATACAACCCACTGAATACACAGCTGAATTCTGAGAGAGGATAAATAGGCAAAAGCACTTTGGTGGAGAGTGTGGCAAACTTACCTATCTCAAACTTGTTTTGTATTTTGGACCACTTGGACTAGTAGGATGTATTTCCAAGGTGAAAAATGAAAATAGAGAAAGAGAGTAATAGCTTCAGTTCTGCTGTCAAAAGAACCCTTTGACATAACCTGAGCTGTACAAAACAGTCATTAATGAATCATAAAGGAGTTGGGTGACGTCTTGAGACCTTGCTGGAACACGGACAACTCTTTTCATTCCCATTTGACATCGATGTTAAACTTCTCAAAGATGTGTACCTCCATGTCTTGGTGAGAATGGACTTAATTACTGAAGGAACTGGTTTGGGCCCATTTCCCTTCAGTCAGTGCCTTCAGCAACGGTTTGAATGACAAATGCAATCCAGCTGAAGGAGATTGTTTGCAATTTGAAGGGTGGGATTAAAATCGGTGCCCGTGAAAGGAAGGGACCGGACGGTTCCCTGCGCCTGGCGCTGCCCACGGTGCGGAGCCTCCTCCGCGCCTCCAGCAGGAAATTATAAATATCCCTGATGACATAACGAGTAATTTGTTCAGTGTAGCAGAGAAAGAATAAAATGAATTTAAAAAAAAAAAAAAAAAAAAGGATGCTAAGGGAGAGGAGGAATAGCGGTTGTGGCACAAAGCGGGGGCGCAGCCCCACTGCCCGATCCCACTGCGGGGCTCCGGGCGCGGCAGAGTCCCCGCTCGGCCGGGGCCGCGTCCCGCCCGCCGGTGGGAGGCATCGCCCGCCCCGCGCCCTGCCCGCCGCCGCCGCCGCTCCCACAATGCTCAGAGCCCGCCAGGTAGCAGCAACATGGCGCGGGCCGCCGCCTGAGCATCCTCCTCCTCCTCCTCCTCCTCCTCCTCCTGCTGCCGCTCCCGCCCGCCTCCGCCTCCCGCCGCCGGGCTGCCGCAGAGGGGCCGCCCGCCCGCGCCCTGCGCCATGGCAGCCTCCGAGCTCTACACGAAGGTAGGGCGGCGGCGGGGCCGGGGCTGCGGGGGCGGCGGGGCCGCGGGGCGGGCAGCGCGGCCCGGCGGAGCGGCGGGGGCGCGGGGTACGGGGCTGGAGCTGCCATTCCCGCCGCTGCCGGTCCCGGTCCCGCCAGGGCCGCATCCCGGGGGCCGCTCCCCAACGCCGCTGGGTGCCGGCCCTGCTGCGGGGAGGGCTCGGGCCCCGGGCCCGCGGGGAGCGCCGTGCCGTGCCGAGCCTCCGTGCCATGCCGAGCCGTGCCGTGCCGAGCCTCCCTGTCCTGCCGAGCCGTGCCGTGCCGTGCCGAGCCTCCCTGTCCTGCCCGGCTCCGGCAGCGGCGGGGATGCAGCGCGGTGCGGCCGCTCGGTTATCGCCTTCGGGAGCGCCGCTCCGCTCCTTGAGGAAAAGCGGCTTCTACGACATTGTACGGCTTTGCTGTTCAGCTACGCTTTTTGGTGACACTGCACCTTTGGATTATGCTCTTCTGGCAGTCGTTCAGAAGCCCTGCAGTCAGCAGTGATGCGCAGCGTGACTCTCATATGCTCTTTAATCAGACGTTTTTCTAATCTTTTTAGTGTTGTGTGTTAATATCTCGTCAGCTTCTGCCTGGAAACAGTTACTGCCCTGCGCATCTTGATGGCAAAGCCTGCAAATTGACATGTGCAAATGGTTATTTTCACCCCTAGCAATGCATTGTTTTCATTGCTCTGCCTTGAGCATAAATCTGAGAAAAATGACAGACAATAGGTCTTTGAGGGCAGAAGGGATGACAGAGGTCACTGGAATTGAGTAGGGCAATACAGCATGGCAAACTCCAGATACTACTTTCGAAAGGCTTGCACAGTCAGTGTTGGTAGGAAGGCCACGCCATCTAGATCCTCGAGCCATTTAGTGAAATACTCCAGGATTATCCCCAGTCCAGCACTCTGCAGGGCAGGAAAGGAAACAGAGCTTTTGTTCTGGCATGGATAAGTCACTGTGTTTGTGGAGTCCTCCCTCTCAGGAGTGGTGGGACAGCACAGCGGCTGCATCAGGACAAACCAAACTGGACAGTCCCTTCACAGGGGCTGCTTGCCTGTGTCTGAGTATATTTGTGTGGGAGACACTGGATGTCAGAGGTGCGATGCCTGCCTGCACCCCCAGAATGATACTGACTACATTAATGGTATGGCACACCTTGGTGTTGTGTCTCATACAAGGATACCTCTTTGAACTGTCCCAAAGGGATGAAATTCACCATTCTGGTAAGAGAGCAGCGGTACTGCAGAGTTGTTTCCAGGCCCCCAACAGACCTTCTCTGTTCACTTTAGAAATGTGGTTTTGATTTCTCCCTCTCTGTTGATGTTCTTCTTTATGGAATTAAAATGTCTGATCCTGAGCGTGGATCAGACTACTTACTTGTTGGTTTTTCTTTTTTTTTTTTTTTTTTAATTTCCAACTTTGTCTGACCTTGAATTCTCTTCACTGAGTGGTTGAATCCTTTGGTCAGAAGCTGCTCCAAAAAATGTGGGTGTGCTGTTGTCCTGGAGCTGTGTTAGAGTGGGAAGCTCAAGGCCCCTGGTAATTCCTGAGGAGGGCCTGGCTCAGAGATGGGCAGGCCAGGGTGGGAAACCTGCTGGGCGCTCAGGAGAGACTCTGCTGTCTTCCCTCTCTGCTGGCTCCTTCCTCAAGTCATGGCAGCCTGCTGCTTGAGCAGCATTCAGTGTCTCATCCTTGATTAGCTAACATAAATAATGGATTTAAGGTCCAAGCATGCTGAGGTGAAAAGAGCAAACACAAAGTGAGACAAGTGCAGGGATGGTGCTGCAGGAGGGACTCGCTGGGTGATGCAGGCCAGTGGGATTGTGTCTGTGCTTCTCTCACACACCAGGCTGTTCTTGTCCTCTTTAGAGACATACATAGGCACAGAGAGTGAGTTTCACAGCTTTTTCAACTGCTAAGCAGAGATTGTCATTCAGGGCAGCTGCTTAAAGTACCAGAGCTTCCAGAGTAGCATCAGCTCTTACTGATGGTGTTGGCATAGATATTTTGCTGGCAAGCAGGGTCAGGGATGAATTTTCAGCACATCATTGCTGCTGTGTGCCCTGGAGCAAGGGCAGCTCTCTTACCCTCTCCCCCTGGATGCCCCAGCCCAACCTGGCTGTGTTTTCCAGGTGCCTGTGTTGGTGTAACTTGCAGCAGTTGTTGGTGAGGTTGTGTTGATGACTGGATCAGCAGTGTTGCAAAGAAGTTGTCAGCATTTCTTCAGGTGCTGTGTGAGAATGGCAGAACAGATTTATTTCCAGCTGGGGGTGGTGGAAGTGGGGCTCTCTGCTCCAGTGTGTCCAGTTTGCCAGTACGTTATCCTTCAAATTTGGGTTCTTTGCTTACCAACATAAAGCTAGCACCCACTCTCCCAACCGCATACTGAAATAGCTGAAAGGAACTCTTATTTTTCCAAGCTTTTTTTTTTTTTTTTTGTTAGAAACCAGCTATACAGATTTTTTGAGGAAGTCATTCCACTCTTGTGAAAGCCCTACTGCTCTGATTCATCCAGATGTGTTTCTAAATTTGGTGGCCATATAGCCAGCCTTGGAGTTGGACATGGTTGTAGTTAATCTAGAAATTTGGATTTAAGTTAAAGGACTGGCTCAAGGGCACTCACAAACTAGTTGTGAGCAGTGGGCCCAAACCGTGAGGCTTTGTATTCCTGTGGTATTCCATGAGGTATTCCTGTGCCCAGTGACTCTGCAGATTCAGGCTCTGCTTGAGGGCATTAGCTTTAGTTTTGGGGTGAAGCAGCTTAAATCAGTTCCACATCTCAGGCATTCTTACTGAAAACATGATGCTTTTGAGCCTTGTCCTGTTGGGTTTATACCTCTAGCACGTTGGTGATCTTGCTGTAAGTTCATTTCTGGAAGTTTTGGTTCTTTGACTGTGCAGACAGACTTAGGAGAGCCTTGGTGTGGTTCCTGGGTCATTGCAGCCCCACTGAGCAATGCTTGGATGTCACTGATCCATTTCAGCATTTCAGGAGCTGTTGACCAACAGCAGATACATACCTGCCTCTGCCGACCCATAAAAATTGGTAGGGACAATCTAGGCCATGTACTGGCTTTTGTTAAGTGTAATTTGATTTCTGTGAAAATTAAGAACAGGGGAGAATGCTCTGCCTAGAACTGGAACTCATCTGCTGGAACTGCCATGTTTTGTGTCTCAAGTCACCTCTGTGAGTTTCGGGGATGTGAAACCAAGCCCCAACACATGCTCTTCTCCCCTGTAGATAGAAATCAACCAAACAGAGCAGACACTGTGTTCGTGCTGCCTCTTTTAACATCAGAGTGAAGAGGTGACATTTTTTTCTCTGTTTCCATCTATTTTTCCATGGGTTTGAGTTGTTTCTCTTTCATGCTGTGCTTTCCTAGAGCGTGCTGCTTTGCCCTCTTGGGATTTCTGTTTCCCCTTTGTATGGCTGTGTACAGTGCACTGATTTATTTATTTATCCATTCAGTCAGAGATTCATTTATTTTCATTCTTGCTGCTACCAATGTGCTCCTCCCTTTCCATTATGTCTGAGATGAGGGGGAGCTGGCTCCAGCTAGCTTGGTCCTAGCACAGGGCCTAATCCAATTTCAGTGTTAGTGAGTGAAGTGTTCCTTTGAGCACAGAGGACTCAGCAAACAGTTTTCACTGGGGAGCATGGCCTGGGCAAGCTGATCTCAGTAGCTGACCTTGGAATGGTTGAGTTTGAGAGTTTATGAGCAATAAATTGAGTTAGGGAAGTGTCAGAGGAAGCTGCAAGAACAAAAGCTGCTTGTGCTGTCCCCAGTGCTGCAAGTGGCCCTTTCTTGGTGTCCCGTGGCTGCAGCTGCTGCTCTGGGGGTGAAGCCAGGGGTGCAACAATGCTTGGTCTTCTCCTCGCCTGTGCTGGCTGCTTGCAAGCAAAAATGGCAAACAGGGGACACTGACCAAGGAATGGCTCTGCTTGGGCATGTTGGTGCTACATGGGGAGGGAAATGCAGCAAAAACCAACCTGAGCATGGGAGGGAAAGTGGAGCTATTTCAAAATTTCTGTGCCTGTTAGTGGGCTTTTCTTGGGATTTAAAAAAAGCTGCTTTAATTATATAGTCTGTATATTGCTGTGCTGACTTGTTTTAAAGTAGATTCTTTCACCCAGTGTGGAAGAGGCCAATCCACAAACAGAGTTGAGATATTTGACTTTAAATAAGTCAAATACAGCTACAGTTCTGCTCAGAAAGGGCTGCTGGGTGGCAAATCCACAAAGTGCCAAAACTTCTCACTAGTTATACAGTTTAGCCAACAAAGGCATTAATGTTCATTGGCTACAAGTTACCTAGTTCCCTTATTAATTAGTGTTCTGTCTTCTTTTGGTGAATGATTCTCTTGGTTCTCATGCTAACTCTTGCATGCTCAGTCTCTTCTTTTGGGTTGGTGATTTCTTGTTTTGGTGTGCCTGTGGTCAGGGTCTGCCCCTGCTGGAGTTCCTTTTACCCAGCCAGAACAGATTCAGCACAGTTGCTTGGGTGGGCTCTGTTAGTTCCTTCCTTGTCTGGGGGTTCTGCCACACGTCCTTGTGGCCCCTAAATTCTGCATTCTGTGTGTCCTCTGTCAGTGGGGATCCTTTCCCAAGCTTTGGAACCTCCCAGTAGGGCTGAGATAGCAGGTACAGCCCCAAACCTTAACAAGGCAATTCTACCAGCAAATACTTTGTCTTTCAAACACCTGGACATCACTCAGAGCTTGTTAGCTGCTCTCTCCTTAACATATTAAATCTCCTTTCCTGTTGATTAGGCTTGAAGATGTACAAAGATCAATCAGAGAATATCCTTAGGAAAACTTGTACATGTTCCACAATTCGCAGCAGAACTGCTGCATGTGATTTAAATGTTCTGTGAGCCCTGGGCAGTCACCCCGTGTCTCAGAAGGTGACAGCTGGGTCCCTGCAGGGTGCAGGGCTGGCACTCCTGGGGCTCCTGCCCTGCCTGCAGCTCAGAGTTCAG